ATGTGTGTGTGTGTGTGTGTGTGTGTGTGTGTGTGTGTGTGTGTGTGTGTGTGCACAGCACATCATCAACGGCAGCCCGTTGCGGGATATGCTCATCATCCCAAAGGATGATTGGACCATCGAGGTGTGGATGCACGAACTATCTTGTGCATCACTGTAAATGTGTGCGTGTGCGTGTGTGTGTGTGTGTGTGTGTTCGTGTACGTTTTTGATATGGCGTTCAACCCGTTTGCGCCTCTCATTGCCGTCTCCACTCAATCACCACCATACCCGTGTCCTCGTATCATGTCCGCCCACACCATCAGCGCCAACGCCGCCGCTTCCGCACGGCCGATCAGCCCGTCCCTGCCATCCTCCTTGGAGACGATAGTGCGTACACCCACCCACTTCATGCCATTGCGATCTGTGGCTCAGCGTGGTTGTGGTGGTGTCGGTTTGTTTCGCGTGCTTGTTCCTACACCTGTCTGCACTGCACGTATCTGATTTGAGCGTACACATAAACACACACACACATAAACACACACATGCGCACTCCGATCCCCTCACTGTCATACACACACACATCCTCTCCAACCACGTGTCACCCCTCTCAAAACAATTTCAACAATGTTCACACGTGCACACAGGGGAGGTACCTGATGGGGTGCGCCAGTGTGCAAAGACGCTGACCCGCGACCTCCACCTCCTCGTGAAGAAGTTTGCTCGCCTTACCCAGGTCGGACACACGCCATGGGGTGGACCGCAGCGGTAGTGATCTGGCTTTTTGAAATGGCATTGGGGGTCCGTGATGGCGTTGAAAGCAGTGTTTGGTGGCAGTGTTGTTGTTGTTGTTATTGTTGTTTATGGTGGTGTTGTTATCGTTCTCCATCTCTCGCACTCTCGCACTCTCGCACTCTCACACCGTTGCCATGATTGTGGCTGTCTGTTCCATCATCACCACCATCATCACCACCATCACCACCGTGATCACGGCCATTGTTTTAGGATCCCGCCCCTTCCCGCCGTCAGCTCTCGGAGAAGCTCCTCAGCCACGAGTTCCCGGTGCGTGTGTGTGTATATGCGCGTGTGTGCGTGCGTGTGGTTGTGCATGTGTTTGTGCTCGAGTGCGGGGATGTAAGTACACTTGTGCCCCCAGTGTTCTTCTCACCTTCGCTCCCAACCACACCCCACTCACGAATCCATCCATCCATCCATCCATCCATCCATCCATCCATCCATCCATCCATCCACCACGGCAACTGATCACCAGGTTGACCAGCCGGCCACTGCGAGTGTTCGCAGCAGCCGCACCCCCGTTGTCACCACCCGCTCCACCAGTGCTCTGCAGGGCAAGCGCGCATCCGTCGTCTCAACGGTGGGCAAAGCCTGTATGTGTGTGTGGGGGGATTGTCATTGTGGTTGTGATAGGGGTGGTGGTTGTGATAGGGGTTGTGGTTGTAATTGTGGTTGCGGTTGCTGGTGCTGCCATGGTGCAGTAGATGAGAGTCACGTTTGGATTCTTCCGTTCTCCCGTGTTGTATGTTGTGTGGAATGACGTTGACACAGTGGTTTTGATGTCCAACTGAACAATGCAGTCCATCTTGTTGCCTCGTTCACACTCACCATATTACCACCACCATCACCACCGCCAGTCGTCGTCGGTGTCCAAGGAGGAGCTGGTGCAGGAGAGCGAAGATCTCGTGCGGGAACTGCTGGACGACGTCACAGTTGCGCGCAGACGCAGCCTCAGGCAGAGGTGATGATGGTTGCACCTCTGATTGGTAGTGGTAGTGGTGGTGCTGTTGCTGCTGCTGCTGTTCTTGGTGGTGGTGGTGGTGGTAAGCCAGTGTTGTCTCGATCACTCCTGTGACCGCTCGTTTCAACAATGCATTTTGGCTGTGAGCAGCTCCTCTCACGTGCATGTATGCACATCTTCTTGTTTGTTTGCACATCCTTGCGTGCGTGTACAGGTCGAAGGATCGCGTGTGCATCCTCCACGCCGCCAACCACAATGGCGCCTGCACAGCCCGCGGTGCGCGCACACACACACACACACACACACACACACACACACACACACACACACACACACGCACGCACACACACACACACACACATATGCACACAAGACCACACATGCCGACACGTGCTGATACATGCAGGCGGTGGTATCCTGCTGTGCCGTGCCACCCCAATACCACGAACTCTCCACCATCACACCGTGTCTCCCACCCTTTGTTTCCACATCATAACCCCCCATCAAACGCAACTCTCACCCGATCTCTCACCTTTTCCCTTCACACCACGATGACACCACCACCACCGCCCTGACCACTGGGCTGCAGATTCACCGCCGGAGTTTCCCCTCACGCGACTCGGTGACGACGTGCACCCGCTCGCCCCAAAGTTCAGGCACCGCTTCATGGTGCGTGGCGGTGGTGATGATGCATGGATGGTGGATGGAGTGAGAGGCGGTTGTGGTGGTAGATTGATCCGGCAACGGTTTTGGTGGCGGTGACGATGGTGTGCATGGGTTCTACACACACGCTCACTCCCTACCACGCGCGTGCCTGCACTCACTTTCACACACACACACACACACACACACACACACACACACACACACACACACACACACACACACACACCACACACACACGCACACACACACACACACACACACACACACACACACACACACACACACACCCTCTCTGTGCCAGGTTGACGTGCACGGGATGGGCCTGCGGGAGTATGTGATTGAGCCGTTCTTCACCACCGTCTATCTGTACGACACGTCTGCGCATCAGCGCGTCAGCGAAGTCTTCAGCTGCGATCTCAACGAAGAAATGACAATTGTCCTTCTCCAGGACCAGGTGCCCACGACGTGTTGTGGATGTTGTTTGTGTTGTGTTGTGTATGTTTTTGTGTTGCGTGTGTGCGTGTGCGTGTGCGTGTGCGTGTGCGTGTGCGTGTGCGTGTGCTGTGTTGTGTGCGTGTGCGTGTGCTGTGTTGTGTGCGTGGAATGAACAATAGCACGTGTGTGAGATGCATTGCCCTTCATGCGACTCCACAGACGTCCCATCTGACCACCACCACCACCGCCACCACCACCACCACCACCATTACAATCCCCTTTGCCTCCCCCCCCGTCTGCAATGAATGTCCCTCCACCCCCCTGCCCACCAGCGACCCGAGCTGAGCACCCAGCGCGGGATTGCTGCTAACTGCCGCAACGGCGTGTTCTCCCTCACCCGTTTCCGCCAGCACAAGGAGGCCGAGTCCGTCTTCATCGTCGTACGCGTCGACAAGGTCGCAACCCGTGGTGGTGGTGGTGATTGTGGTGGATGACTTGTGCGTGTGTATGTGTGTATGTGTGTGTGTATGTGTGTGCGTGCACGTACGTTCGCGTTGGCTGTACAAGGATGCAAGCCATCACACAGCTCAACGTTGCTCACATCACCCTCGCTCCATCTTTCGTACCTCCCTCCGTTCTCCCTTCTCCCTTTTCCCCCTTTGCCTCCCCCGTTCTTCCTCCTCTCCCTCTGCTTCTCCCTCACCACCGCGATTGCCAACATGTATGGTTTTGTTTGTTGTGGTCCGCGTGCAGGTGCTGGATGGCGACGTGAGCAAGTCGTGGGACCTCTACTCAAAGGTGTGGACCTTCAATGCACTGCAGATCACCACACGCTTGAGTCCAATCTGCATTCGCGCTCGCTTTGCCCGGTTGCTCGGTGTGCCGTCACGCGAAAGAACAAAGCAACAAATCAAATTGTCGCATGCATTGCCCATGTGCAAGCTCCCATGGCTCACATTCGCGCCAATCAACCCGCTCCACCACCACCACCACCACCACCACCACCGTGGATGGGCAATGTGACTTGGCAGCTTGCACAGCAGGACGAACCCGAGGCACGGAGTCTGGACCGCGCACGCGAGGCAGCACAGCGCGCTGGCAAGGTGGGGGCACATGATACAGTGGTGGTGATGGTGTACTGCTTCGTGTTGGTGTCTCTCTTTCATGCCGTTGTTGCTTTGATTGTCGTTTGATTAGCGTCCCTTGCTCACAACATCAATCACCCCTTCAACCACCACCACCACCATACCATCAGCGTCTTGGCAAGTTCCAGACGCCGTTTGCGATTGGTGCCACACCGCTGCAGAGCGCTGTCGATGCCTGCAGGCAACACACCACTGTCGACCTGGACCTCTGGGCACTCCACGCAGACAAGCTCAAGGTGAAGAACAAGACATGTGGAGGAGGAGGAGGGGGTGGTGGTGGCCTGTGACAAGGGATGCCACTCATTACAACAATGCAGACCAACCTGTGTCAAAGGTGACAACCCGCACTGCTGCTACCAATGCCGCCACCATTGGTTTCACCAACAGCACCACCACCACCACTAACACAATCAACCTGCCACTGCCTTACTCTCCACTCACCAACATCACCACCAACCACCATTTATCACCACAACAGGACGAGGACATGAGCAAGCTCGTTGTTGAGATTGGGCGGAGTGGTGATGCAAAGGCCAAACGCAAGCGGCTCGGAAAGGTTGCACGCCTCGCCGTCACACAGATCACGTGCGTGATGATGGTGGCGGTGATGGTGGTGCTGGCGGTGGTGCCCTGAGATCGGTTTTGTGTGTGTGTGTGTGTGTTTACCGTGTAGTGTGATGGTGGATGTGCCCGTGTTCGTCACTGCGTTACACGACATGTGTGCCACCTTCAGTGATGTCTCACTGTGTCCACGCTCACTCCGTTGTGTCGAGTTGTCAGGAACGATGGGCAGTTGCCCAAATCGCTGCTGACGTCATCGCTCCTCCGCGTTGCGCCGTTTTCAAACGCACAGGAGCATCTCGCCATCGAAGTCGAGGTGAGTGAGTGTGTGTGAGTGTGTGTGAGTGTGTGTGAGTGAGTGTGTGTGCGTGTGTGCATGCGTGTGTGTGAGTGTGAGTGTGTGCGTGTGAGTGTGAGTGTGTGTGTGTGCGTGTGCGTGTGTGTGCGTGTGTGTGCCGACGTGTAG